TCTCATTTCTGTGGTTATGGTCTTATTGGTCCTCATAAGAACATGTTATCCGAAAATATCATGCTTCTGCTCCACTGAAGAAATGACAAAAATAAATGTCATTCATGATTTCTGCAGCAAGGACCTAGAACTTTCAGAAAAAGAAAAATTTTACATTTCTTGTTGTATATCTTATATTAAAAAAAAAAAAAAAAGGCAAAAAAGGCAGACCTTCCTCTGAATCCAATTATTTAGCCTGGCTGGATAGTAAGGAAAATTTTAAATTTAAAGGAGCATGGCAATTAGGGGCAACTTACACCAGACTTTGAGAGGGAGCTTTAGCATTGTACATCCTGGTGATGACTGTGCAATCCTAGAGTCCATCACTGTAAGGATGTGATATAGAAGTATCTGTCTCCGTTTTAAAAGTTTAAATCATTGATAAAATGGGAATTGTGGCTTAAGGTATATGTATGCCTTATAAACTCTAGATTTTCCCTTGTTCTCTGGCGATTCATAGAGAATAATGTTGGAAATCTTAATACTGGTGCAAATGATGCATGGATGACAATGTGTATGTAAGTGCCAGAAGAAACCCAAGAATGAGGCCAAATAACCTGCATTGATAATCAACAATCAGGAGTAAACTAAAGAATGTATTATTTTGTCAAAATCAGAAGGTCTACACTCTCACAAAACAACAATATGATGAATGTCATGATGACATGTTGGCAGAAGTGTGTGTGCTCAACAACAAAAGATGTCAATGCAGACACAAAGCATAACTTCTGTCATTCTTTATAACCCCAACAAGAACAGCATATCAGAAACTAAGAATGTCAAGAACTAAGAATGTCAAAAATCAGGAAGCACAGACAACAGGCACCAGACTTGCCTCAAGTTTGCAGAGATAAAAGTAAGAAAACTGTGAGTCAAAAGGATCACCCTAACTTTTAGGTCCTGAGTATATAAAAGATGTATTTAAAGACCAGTTTGTTATTGTCAGTCGAGAAGAAATAAAAAGACCTACCAAAAACTTCATGGGTGGCATCTCTTGCCCATGTTCTGTGTGGCACACAAGGAATCCTGACCAAACCATTATATGCAGACACTTTGATGCTTGTATTTGGGCATGAGAATGCAAGCAGATGAAATCAACAAAAGATGTGTCTGTGTGGTGAAAATTAATTTACTAATGGATTTCCTAAAATACTAACTTCCCCTCCCATAAAATCTCAAGCAGGGTTTTTGCTGAGCTGTTTTCTTACACTTAGAGAAGAGAGAGGTGTGAAGGCAAATCTGAGTAAGGAGGGAAATAAAAATTACCCCAGCACTTGTTCCAAGAATAAGTCAACTCCTCCAGCTTCTAGAAGCTTTTTTAGTATAACCAGAATTTCAAACTAATGATAACTAAAGACATTGATATTAACAAACAAAAAAGATAATTTGCATTTACTCTTTGATGTGGCATGACACAAATAGATTCCCGACAGTGTTAGGATTGCATTTTGGTGAGGATTGTATTTTTATGTGCTCTGGCCAAAACAATTAGTTAAAAAGTCATCAAAATGGAATTGCTCACTTGAAAATAAAGAAATAAGACTTAAAGTATTCTACTGTCATGAGTGATAAAGAACAGGTTTACTGGAATGACCAGTCTCAGTTGTTTCTCAGTGTTAAAGACAGCGCAAACATTTATGAATAACCATTAAAAGACCTTATTAAAGCTGATGTTCTTATTGATGTCCCACTATTTGAAGCTTTGAAGCACGGAATAATATATTGATGTAATAAAAAATGGGTACATCCATAGAAATACATAAGAGTCTTGTTAGGAATTACCTGTTACAAGTTTAAGCCTTTGATAGTGATCCTAGCTTTAATCAATTTTTTACTGTTTTTGTTTGGTTTAGTTTCATTGCAGAGTTTGTAATCAGCATAATTCTACAGGAACTTGTGGTATGCAGAGGACCCCAAATGTTTTGTTTCATTCCTTTAATGGGTGCTACTTGGCTGTGACACAGACTCATAGTTAGGCCAATAATCACCCAGAGAACAAATTTAACTGAATGAAATTAAGAGCATTATCAAATCTATTTCAAATTGATCTTTACTGTTGTTCTGAGTTTCTGTCTGCCTGCCCTTAATCCTGAAAGAGAAAAAAATTGTAATGAGCAGTTGGCCCAGTAAGATGGAGCAGCCAGTGACAAAATCACTGTAAAACATGAGTGGACACAGAAAGGAAACAAATACCACTTGAAACCTTAGGATGCACCTGCAGCAAGCAGCTCAGCCATAACCTCAGAGGGCAGTGAGAAGTATGTCTCACCAGGTTACAGCATGAGTAAATATCAAGCCTGGTGTAAAAAGGCAACACAGCGTTACCAAAGACTTGTGCTGGCAAACATGTGATTCTCTGGTCATGTGTGCACACCACAACCACTTAACTTGCACATGAAAAACTCAAAGAACCAAGCAAAGCCAAAGGGAATGCGATGTTAAATACTTCAGTGGATCAGCACTGAAGTACACCTGGGAAAATCTTACATAATCAAAAAACCTGAACAGTAGGGATAGGGCCATTAGGTAGAACATATCTATCTCAAAAAGGCTTCAAGAGACACCTTCTCTAGTCTTAGCATATTAAGACTATGTACAGAGGCACAGAAAAAGGAACATGAAGGAAAGACCTGGAAAACAGGTCAAGGAAGGTGAGTCTCCCCCTCCACTCCACTCTGCTGAGACCCCACCTGGAGTACTGCGTCCAGCTCTGTGGTCTCTAGTACAAGGAAGACATGAATCTGTTGGAGCAGATTCAGAGAATATCCCCAAAAATCATCAGAGGGATGGAGCATGCCTCTTATGAGGAATGGGTGAGAGCATTGAGGTTTTTTAGCCTGGAAAAGAGAAGGCTCTAGGGAGACCATACTGTGACCTTTCAGTGTTATAAAGGGGGAGTATAAGAAAGAGTGAGAGAGATTTTTTTACCAAAGTCTGTAGTGACAGAAGAAGAGGTAATTTTTTTAAACTGAAAGATAGTGGATTTAACGCGGACATAAGGAAGAGATTTTTTTATGATTAGGATGTTGAGACTTGCAGCAGGCTGCCAAGAACTGTGGATTCCCCACCCCTGAAAATGTTTAGGGTCAGGTTGGATGGGGCTCTGAGAAGCCTTGTCTTAGTGAAAAGTTCCCCGCCCATGTCAGGGGTGGTTGGACTAGATGACCTTCAAAGGTCCCCTTCAACCCAAACTGTTTTGTGATTCCATAATTATATGAATCAATTTCAAATAGCAGAGTTCTGTGAAATCTATGCTGAGTCCTCCTGCAACCTCTGTCAATGTGGAGACATTAAGTCTCTATTCTTGGTACTGCATTGATGGACAGCTGAATTTTTAAGCGAATGACTCACTACAATCATGCAGAAACATGGGCATGGCATCTCATTCAGTTGTACCCTAATTTATCATAGCTTTCACCTCATGTCTTTCTATCGTTGCATGGACAGCTGGTCTGGAAAGCAAGCTATTAATCAGTCTCTGCTGGCTGGAGAAGGCCAGTAACAGTTTTTATTCAAATCATTTAGGTTGTCATTCACATTTCTCATTTCAGCATGCATTTAACCTGAAAACACTGGTCTTCCTTCTTTGTGCTTACAGGCACCCAGTGCTCACTGTCAGACCCCACACAGTCCAGCTTATAATGCTCTGAAGACAGATTTACTAGCAAGGGCTTATGTCCTTACTGTGATTGCCTAGGCAGCAACAGTGGTAGAAAAATAGCTATGAAAAGAGGACAAGGAAAGAAAAAAGAATAAGCAGTTCAGTGAGATATTTCAGGAAGTTCAGGCTCAGATAGAACCATAGACAAACACAAAAGAGAGGGAGATGTAATAATGTAAAACATGAGTGATATAAACAGAAGAGATATTTTTAGCATGGATGACAATGAATTGTATGTCCCAACTATTTATTCAATAACAAATATGAAACAGATTATCAGTGCTTTTTTTAATGTCTTTCACCCAAAATTAAAGTTGCTTGTTTTGAGTTTTTTTCTATGCACTTATATTATTGAATTACTCTGAATGCTGTAAACTACTTTCATGGATGGTTAGACATTCAAACCAAAATTTTCTATATATGTCTATATTCTGTATGGCAGACACCTAGAAGAAATATTCCCTGTAGTCAGAATTTTCTATGTACATGAGGAACATGAAGCAATACATTATTTTTCCTACATAGAAATAAGGAATACAATGCAATGTACCATTGTTCATATCAACAACTTTGTTAACATTTAGAATCAAAGAGTCACTTTAAAAACGAAGCACATAAAACCTAAAAAGACAGCATTAATGATAAATATTATTTGCCTGCTTATAAAATACCATGTGGTATGCATGACTTACGTATCCAAAACTACCTTGAAATACTGCTAAACACCAACATACTTTACTGAAATATCACAATGTAAGGCTTTCACTGTCAACACTAAAATAAACCATCTGCATCTACAATTACTATGACACTGTCTTTCAAGCATTTTACATTCTTTCATAACATATTTTGCTACTTTTTTAGAAAACAGACGTATCACTGTCAGTCATACAAAATATTTAAAAGTTTTGCTGGTCATTAGTACCTTTAGGTTTATTACAACTCCCACAATGAAGCATCACAAGTAAACATAATGTAAGATTACCTAATGTTTTAGGTTTTTGTTTAAGAGTCTGTATTCTTTAATGAATACTGATGGAACTTAGGATATAATACAGCACTTCCATTTATGTGCTAGCACTCCTGAAGTCTTAAAATAAATATTCTCTAACATGTTCAATACTTCTAGTGCATGTTTCTAGCAAAAATCTGCCATCATATTATCAATCAATGATGTAAATAGTCTATGCTGACATTATACTATAAAATCAAGGGGAACAGAAAGCTATATACTGTCAAGATTTAGCTCTGTTATGCTGTTAAATTCTGCTGTGTTATGTGATATTAAGTGAACACATACCCCCACAGACATCGCCATCTGCATTTTCACACTGTCGATCATCACATTCACAGTTTTTGCCATGAACTCTGTTGTCTCCTGGAGGGAAACAAGTGCATTGGCCACATTCACATCTCCCTGTAAGAATAAATAATTGTTAGAGTCAAGATTTCAGTAAAGTAAAATTTAATAAACCCCAAGTTCATGCTGCATCCTAACCCCTAAGACAAACTACAAGTCACACTGCATTAATTAAAATATAGCTCATAAACACAATTAAAAACAAACAAACAAACAAAAACACAGCAAAACAAGACTATTCCTCCTCCATGGCAACCAGATGGAAAGTGTATCACTGTTGTAATCTTAGTGGAAATGGCAACAATAAGCAATCGCTGGCATTGCATGTTTTTCATATCTGAACTTAGCATAACTGTGCTGGCCTGTGCTTATCTGCATAATTAACCTCTATAGTTGATCTAAAATATTAAGCACATATCTCAGAAACACCAAAACAAATGTGATCAGAATTAAAGTCTATGCACAGAGCTATATAAGATACTCTCTATTCATGTAGAAAAATAATTCTTCAAATACTCTGTCAAGCTTTTTGAAAGCAAAATCCCTGTAATTTTTCTTGTCTAGATCTGAGGAAACAAGCACAACCTCTGTCGCAGTCTCCCTTTCCATCAATCTATTTACAGGAGAGCTCCCCAGAGCTTAAAGGAACAACAGATTTATCCAAGCTCCCACAGATCTTCACTCCACAACCCTAAGAGCAGTAAGTACTAAATGGCCAGATGAGGAAAAAATTAATATCCAGGACAGTCCTACCCTGCACATATCTGAGATAAACTCAGTTCAGATAATGGGCCTTAACTTCTAAGAGTTTGACTCTATATGTTTTTATGCAATGCTGGTGAAAGAACATTCTAAAAATGGCACAAATCATGGACCAAACTCACACATTTGATAGGCTTGGGGAAGGATATTGTGTATAAAAAATGGCCACCAGAGACATAGACTAGGATGTAGAAAACCTGCCCTTTAATTTAGTCATAGCATCAGTGAAACTCAGCTTGGCCATGGTCACTGCTCTACTGAATGCAACACCCAAATTTATGGTATTGCTGGAAAGTAAAAAATACCCTCCAAGTGCTGCCTTTTGTTATGCAACCCGACAGTTCACAACACACTGCACTAATTTATTCCAGCATTTGCTGAAATATTTTATTGAACGGGAAAGGACTGTGAACGAAAACTTCAGTAAAGGTTTTCTAACTGTAGATGTCATGACGATAAAACTCTTTAGGGTAAGGTACTGATAAATGATTACTTATTTTCCCAACTTCTAACCTTAATTTGTTATATTTGTTTGTGGGGCTTTGGGGTTTATTTTTTGTTTGTCTTTTTTTTCTTTTTTAAAGAAAACACTCTGATTAAGTTGGAATAGGGAGAGATCTTTTGACTTAAGGAAAAAAATTTCTAAGCTCATTTTATAACTTCTATACTCTTCATCTTCCCAAGCCTCAACATACATTGCACTTCTGACCTGACATTTTATGCACCAGGATTCAACCTAGAAGGACGTAAATGGCAAGAATTTTAGCAAAGACATACAAAAGAGAATTAGAGTAAATACTTCTTAACACCTTTATTATATGCATAGTTTAAAAACCACATTTCATTGTCAATTATATGAGGATATTTGTTTCAGAAAGAAACTTTTTATCAGAAGTGCATCTGCCACAGCATGAAATAGAATTGTGCTTAGTAATCACGTCAAAATTTAAGATATTATTGTCTACAGAAATAATGATGCTATTGGCCTGCATTCTCTAAGCTGTAATTATTTGGCAAGGACAGCCACATTAAAAGACGGAAAAAAAATCCTTAGTGCTTAAACATACGGAAAATCTTATTGAGTCTAATTTGTCTCTTTTTATACATTCACCTTAGGCAACCTGATCACTTTTGCAAAAGTGTCACATCAGCCTGTCCCAAGGAACAGTCAGGAACCTGTGGGCTGAGAGGCACCTGATGAACAGGACCCATCTGTTGTGGAGATTGCGACATAAACAAAAGAAGAATCTTCAGCAGTGGTATCCTGGCCAGCCATTGCTATAATAAGGATGCCTGAAGATGGTAAAATCATTTAAGCAAGCCGCTTTGACTAGAGGAGTCTTTAGAGATGGAAAATCCTCGAGAGGAATGAGCAAAGGAAGATCCTCTAATAAGGATCCTGCATGTTCTGTAACTAAGCATTATCTTCTGCAATGCTTAATTTAATAAGTCAGAGTCCAATGGCTGGTCCCTTGTGCTGCAGTGGGAACAGGCTCATTTCAGTCCCTGTTGCAAGTAATATTTATTCATTTTAGTTAATGTGCAACAGTGTCACCAGCAGAAAAATGGAGGGAAGCCCATCCCTAGACAGACTGAGCAATTTTTGTCATATAAGAGATACAAGATCAAAGGGATTTTAGGCCCTACTTTCTCAATCTGTGATATTTTTTTGTGGTTTTTTTTTGTTGTTGTTGTTGTTGTTGTTTGGTTTGGTTTGGTTTTTTTGCCTGGCTCTCACCTAATTCCACCTAAATATGGTTTAGATCATCTGGCTGCAGACCTCATCAGAACTGAAAGTGTCTTAAAAATAGGCAGAAACTTCCAGCAAGTGCCCTGGAAAAGGATTTCTTTGAGCTATTTCTTTATTTTTAAATATTCAAAAATACTATTATAGTAGTTTATTACACTGCTGCTGAAATTGATAATCAAATTATTAATTCCTTTACTTTTACAAATGTTACAAGATCAGCATGAGAAATAAATTTAATGGTGTCACTAAATAACTGCCAATTTGTAGTGGCTATTAAAATATTTTGCCTCCAAAAGTAGTGAGATTTTAGTTAGATTATGTAAATAGGGCTCACTCTAAGAAGATAATTTAACAAAGAATTAAAGTCCTATTGCTTCTGAACAGCTAACTATATAGTATGTATCTGCTGCTGAAATATCAGAAGCCACACCTTATTCTCTGATCTTCTCATAGCTATTGTGATAAAATACTTACCAAACAAATTCAATCATTTGAAAGTAATTTGAAGCTCACATTATATTGAAAAGGGATCAGCACTTTACTAAACATACTCCCTTGCATAGAATAATAGGTTTACCATAGCAACCTGATTATACAGGGAAAGCTACTGCCATACATCTGAAATTTTCTTTAAATTCCAAGGCATAGAGAAATAATTAAACATGGGTGACTATAACATTCTGAACCTTCTCAACCACCTGTGCAAGAACTACACTTTATGAGTAAAAAGAAACCAGCTGATGTCCGACATTTTACAGCAAGAGGCTTCCACTGTTCCTTGCTAAACAGGGAGGGTAAATGTCATTATCAGATGGCTTCAGATGAAGGTAGCTTTATGATGGAAGTTATATGAGCTATTAGTATTGAAAAGCATAAGCTACTTACTGCAATGCAAGATGCTAAGAATAGAATAATTATACAAGACATTTATTTGCCTACAGTCTTAATATTTCCTCACACTTCTTCCTCCCATTGATGTGAATAGGAGTATTAACTTATCACTAATAATTGTTAGTGCTTGAAGAGTGACAAAAGATCAGCTTAGGTTGGGTTTTTTTGTTTTTAAAGGGAATTAAAGTGCCACATCTCATCAAAACACCAGTTCATTAGATAACTGACTCTAGAATTTTAAAGGAAAATGCCGTAAGCTTTTTGCTTTTGATTTTATTCTCCATTTACTATAGAATTTTTTCATTCCTCATGTCTAACATTTATAAAACATAACTAAACAGTTTCTAGATTTACATTAAAGCTGTCCCCATGCAAATTGCTGTGACAATTAGCTGCTTGCATTCAAACACATTTCCTATATGGATTGACTGAAAGTCTCCTCTGTGCTAGAAGTATAAAATTTTTTCAATAAAGCATTTTTACCCTGTTTTTGTCAGCAAAGGAAGAGATAGTAATAGCTTCCAATGTAAAAATAAACACTGACTATAATAAGATATACTTCATTGTCTTTCCCCGCCTGTAACTCTATAGCATAAAGGATTTTTCTGTGCAGGATGATTAATTTTTATCTTCTAAATGAAATCAAATAAATAAAGCCTTTCTTCTGTTTAAGTTTTTGGTTTTTTTGTTTGGTTTTTTTTTTTTTTTTGTGTGTAAGGAAGATAGTGCCAAATTGCACTGAAACTGTGGCAAAAGCAAGTCAGGTTCATTTAGTATATATATATATAAAAGTGGTTTAGGTTACTGATAAATAGGAGGGAATCTGCCTTTATTAAGGATTTTTCTGTCCCATGGCTGTCCCGGGCTTAACATCTGAAAGCATTACCTTTCAGAAATTGCAATTTCTTTTTTATCACGTAATCTCAGGTAACTTGAGCACATTCAGTAAAGCTGCTGTGTCTTTTTGCCAACAGAACTCATTTCATGCTGGATGTGAGCAAGATGATCTAAAACAATGTTCAGAAATGGCAAATCAGAGAAGGGGGATGGGAAGATTTGTACAGAAGATCACAAAGTTTCAGTGGACACATAAAGGGTAAGGGGAAGCAGATGTAGCTGAAAGAAGTAATAGCAGCTAGCAGATTCAAGTAAGGCAATAGAAAATCCACTGATGGAGTGGTGGAGGGAAAAAAAGTGAGCAAACAGAACCACAGGATCAGAAAACAAAATGCAACACTTGCCAAAATAGGGTGGTGCCTTGCTCATTCTGAGGTGTTCACCACCGCATGCCCCAGCTGACCTTGATCAATGTGGAGAAGTTTACATTCAAGCAGGAAACAGTGACAGATTTCTTAGTGGCCATGCATTGTGTGTTTTGTACGTCCTTCCAAAAATTGCCTGGAATTAATTCCCATCTGGAATGGCTTTAAAAATATATATACATATAAATATTATACTCACTAGACAAAAAATAATCCTGTCTTATATATGAAAGGATCCTTGGGTTTTAAAATGCTGGCAATTCTTGATCTGGTTCGTTGGGTGATTTATGAAGTGTCAGAAAAAGGGAACCTTTGGAAGCGTCTTAAGTGCGTACAAAAGTATCCTTAGAACCTTTTAAAATGCATGAATATCTGACTGATCTCACTCAGAA